CCCCAAAACCCCAAAACCCCAAAACCCCATGAAGTAAAATATATATAGTTGTACAAATATTGAATTTTTTGTTTAGATTAAGTAAATATTTCTGCTATTGAACTTAATGATAAGAAGTTAAAACATATTTAAAATTACTTTTTAATTGGAGTAGCTTTAAAATCTTTATTAATTATTTTAGGATTTTTTCCTCATTAAAACTAATACTAACTTAGACCTAATATATAAATAATTAATTTCTATTACAAATGGAGGGAAAAGAAATATTCAATTTTTCACCAGGACCTGCTTGCCTGCCAAAAGAAGTGCTTAAGCAAATTTAAGATGAGTTTTTAAACTATAAAGGAAAAGGATTTAGCATAATTGAAATGTTCAATAGATCCAAAGAATTCCTAGAATTAGCTGCTGAAGTAGAAAAAGACTTAAGAAGTCTGATAAATCTACCAGATAATTATGCTGCAATGTGGGCATCATCTGGAGCCTACCTTTAATTCAGTTCAGTACCTTTAAATATTGGTGGAGGCCCAGAGAGCACAGCAACTTATGTTGAGACTGGCCACTGGAGTATGGAAGCTGCTAAAGAAGCTAGAAAATTCTTGAATGTATCCCCTGCATGGCAACCATCAGAAGATAGATATCTTTACACTTTGCCTGAGCCTGAAGAGTTTAATATTCACAAAGACTCAAAATATGTTTACTATTGCGATAATGAAACAGTTCATGGTGTGGAATATCACACTCCAATCGTTACTGAGGGAGTACCAGTAGTTTGTGATATGACTTCAAGTTTTTTGACAAAGCCTCTCAATTGGGATAGATTTGATGTTATTGTCTCAGCAGTGCAAAAGAATCTTGGACCTGCTGGTATAACTTCATTAATTGTAAACAAAAAACTTCTTGGAAATAAAAGAGCGGATACTCCAATTATGTGCGATTGGGAAACTCAGTACAATTGTGGAGGCTTCTATAACACTGCAAATGTATTTGCTCTATACGTTTGCGGACTTAACTTGAAATACCTGAAAAAATTCGGTTTGGAGTATTTTGATGACTTAGCTAAGTAAAGATCAACGCTAATCTACGATGTAATTGACAGCTCAAACGGATTCTATAGAAATTAGGTTGATTTAAAACACAGAAGCAGATTAAACTGCCAGTTTAGACTTAAATCTAAGGAAGAGGATGACAAATTCCTTAAGACTGCTGAAGAGGCAGGTTTCCTTTGGCTAAATGGTCATATAAAATATGGAGGGTGCAGAGCTAATATGTACAATGCTATGCCAATTGAAGGTGCAGAGAAATTAAGAAATTTCATGAAATAATACCAAGATGAGCAAGAAAGATTGTGAAAAGCTAATTCTTAAATATAGAATTTTGATAAGCACATGTATTAAGGTATAATATTGTGAGAATGAATCTTTTCATACCTATATAAATCAATAAAGATATTAATAAAATATCCATGCTCTTCTTGAATGAAGTTATCCTAAGATTTTACAATTGGGGTTTTGGGGTTTTGGGGTTTTGGGGTTTTGGGG